TATGGCCCAACTTACCCAACTGGTCAACCTCACCCATGCTGCCCTCAACCTAGTCAACCCAGACTTGGCAAGGGACTGCTGGATCTGCATGGCCCCAGGGCCCTTGCGATATGTTGGATTAGCTGTCAATTCCTCTGCAACCCTCCCCTCGAGTCAAGCGTCCACAGACGCACTCCTGATGGCCCCAGCCCCCATCTATGGAAATTCTCCTATTCTAACAGGGTCTAGCAGGGTCTGTGCCCACAACCGCACTGCCCTGGCCTGCTCACACGGTGTCTTTTCCTGTGTTGTACCAGGCAACAACTCTTGCCAGATAGTTAGTCTGCTGCCTGATCTCTCCCTGATCGCAGGGTCTCAGGCCCCCTCCTTGTCTGACCGACCTCAGAGATATAAACGCAGTCCGGTACCGGCAATTCCTCTGGCTGTTGGTCTTCTGGCCACAGCTGAAGCCACTCTGGAGGCCATGGGCTCAGAGCTGTCCCAGGCTCAGTACCAGGTTCTCACCGAACAAATCATTACTGATTTTGGAGACCTGACTCAGTCTGCCTTGGCCCGCCAACGACAGTTAGGCCCCTTGGCCAGTTTGATTCTGCAAAATCGTCGAGACCTAGCTCTCCTGACCGCTGCCCGCAGAGGCCTCTGTCTGTACCTCCAAGATCGATGCTGCTTCTATACTAATAAGTCGGGCGTGGTTCGTGAGACAGCGGCAACTTCAGTACAGAATCAATGCAAGACGTGGGGCTCTGTGACCGTCCGCATGGTGGGACTCCCTGGCAAATTGGCTTCCCTGGATATCACCTTTTATTGGGCTCCTGGTTTTCCTGCTATTGATGGCTGCTGTCGGCCCCTGCTTATTCAAAGCCCTTACCCGTTTTACCGACTCACAAATTGCCAAGGTCATTCTCCAACCTCTCCTTGCCCCGGGCCAGTCCCTAGAAGAGGAGCTTTTAGAGCTAAAAAGAGCTAAAGCGCCCTAAAGAAGAGGAGAGGGAATGTTACAGACCCTGATCTCAGGAACTGCTCCCTGCCCCAAATCAGTCAGGGTGGCCAGCTTGGTCTGGCCCGGCCGCTGCTGACTTCAGGGACACCTCCCCATTTTCTATTGTGTCCAAAGCCCAGCTGTGTGTCAGATCACTGCGTGCCTCACGAAGCTGCCTTGTAATTGTGACTTACTGGACACTATGCTTCTGTGTCTCCCAAGATTGTCTTGTAACTATGACTTGCTGGTTTAAGGTAGAAAAGTAGAGAAAGACCAGGGATCAGGGCTTGACTCTTGGGGACACGAGTCCAGTCAAGTCCACATGCAAGAATAAACTGTTTGCCTTTCCTCCCGAAAGTCTCAAGAGTCGCTTGGTTTCTTTGGTCTCTCGTCCGTGACAAGATCACATTGTATTTTGCATGTAACCACAGTTTTTGTTTTTTAAGATTGATTTATTTATTTGAGAGGCAGAATTACAGACATATAGAAAGAGAAACAGAGAGGTCTTCCATCTGCTGGTTCAGTTCCCAAATGGCTGCAACGGCTGGAGCTGGGCTGGTCCGAAACCAGGAGCCAGGAGCTTCTTCCGGGTCTCTAATGCGGTGCAGGGGCCCAAATACTTGGCCCATCTTCCACTGCTGCCCCAGGCCATAGCAGAGAGCTGGATCAGAAGTGGAGCAGCTGGGACTCGAACTGGCGTCCAAATGGGACGCTGACACCACAGGCAGGGGTTTAACCTACTGTGCCACAGTGCCAACCCCAGTTTGCTCTTTTTCAGTTGTTGTATATTACTCCTTTTCATGACTTTACCACAATTTCTTTGTCATTTGTGCCCCAGGTATTGATGGACTCCTGAGTTATTGCCAAGTTGTGGTGACTGGGTAAGGCTGCTGGCACGTTCTCAGCCGTGTACTTTGGCAACACCTGCACCCACTTCAGCATGTGCCACAAGAAAATGAGGACTGACCGCCCTGGAAACCTGGGGAACTTGCTCTTTTGCTGGCCATGTTTTTGTATCTCAAACCTGGAGGCCAGGTTAATGGCACAGGCTTCACCATTTTCAGCTCTCACTTTTCAGTCTTCTTGTGCTTTTTTCCCAAGTGCCCCTTTCTTTGGCTAATTCCTTCACCATGCTGCTATTTGTTCTTGTTTGCTTAGATTTGCTTATTTGACAGAGCCACAGAGAGACCGAGAGCGACCTTCCATCTGCTGTTTCACTCCCCGGATGGCTGCCATAGCCAGAGCAACATCCAAGTCTTGGCCAGGCTGACACTAGGAGCCAGTCCGGTCTCCCACATGTAAGGGGCCCCAGTACATGAGTCATCCTCCACTGCTTTCCCAGGTGCGTTAGCAGGAAGCTGAATTGGTTGCTTTAAGGAGGAGACGACAGCAACATCTATTGTGGGGCTTACAGAACTGCCAGCTAGGGCTGGAGAACTGAATTGGAGGCCATGCACCAAGAACACTAAAAATCACAGCTGGGGGCTGAAACTGGCACAGTGAGTTAAGCCCCTGCCTGTGATGCCAGCATCCCAGATGCGCACTGGTTCATGGCTGCTCCATTTCCAATCAAGCTCCCTGCTAATGCACCTGGGAAAAGAAAGCCCAAGTGTTTGGGTCCCTGACCTACATGAGAGATCCAGAGGAAGCTCCTGGCTTGGGCCTGGCCAGGCTCTGTCTTGTGGTCACTTGGGGAGTGAACCTCATGTGGATGCCAGGGCCAAAAGATTCGGGCCATCCTCTGCTGCGCTCCCAGGAAAGGAGCTAGGTTGGAAGCGGAGCAGCCAGGACTCAAACCTGCACCCGTACGGGATGCCAGCATCACAGGCAGAGGCTTAACCCATTACACCACAATGCCAGCCTCATAAATAAATCTTAAAAAAAAAAAAGAGGGGTCCAGATGGTGTACCAGATTGCCAGTGCCAGTGCAGGTTGGCAGCTGCATACAACATCCTCCACAGATGGTAGAAAGTGAAAAGTGCTTGGAAGAAGCTGAAGAATACAAAGAAGCAGGCTTTCTCCTGGATTTGGTGAAGTTAGAAGCATTAAACCTTTCTGCATTAAATCCTGGAGTCCATTCTATGATTCATTATTGTGGCCACTGTTCAAGTGTGATTATTCCTTGCTTAACGTGTTGAATGATCGAGTTCACTTGAACAAAGGGTGTCTTGTGTAAAAAGAACCAACTTTGGGGATGGGCACTGTGGTGTAGTAGGTAAAGTCACCACCTGCAGTGCCGGCATCCCATATGGGCGTTGGTTCAAGTCCCAGCTGCTCCACTTCCGATCCAGCTCTCTCTATGGCCTGGGAAAACAACAGAAGATGGCCCAAGTCCTTGGGCCCCTGCACCTGCGTGGGAGATCTGGAAGAAGCTCTTGGCTCCTGGCTTCAGATCGGCCCACGTCTGGTTGTTGTGGACATTTGAGGAGTGAACCAGCGGAAGGAAGACCTTTTTCTCTCTCTGCGCCTCTTTATAAATCTGCCTTTCAAACAAATAAATAAATCTATCTTTAAGTTTGTATTTCACTTATCATCCTTTTTGTTTTCTTTCATTTTATTTGAAAGGAAGGAAAGACAGTGAGAGAAACAGAGATAGAGATCTTGTTCATTCCCTGAACACTTGGAATAGCCGTGGCTGGGGCAGCCAATGCCAGAAACCTGGCGTTGAGTCTGGGTCTCCCACAGAGTCCGAGGACTTGAACCATCACCTGCTGCCTCCTCGGAAGAACAGTAGCAGGAAGCTGCACCTGACTTGGAGCCAGGACTTGAACCCTGGCTCCAACATAGGACTCAGGTGTTCCAAGTGGCATCTTACCAGCTGTGCCGAACACCTGCCTTCCTTTTTAAGTTTTAGGTGTATCGACATAATGAAGTTTCAGAACAGAACGCTACTATGAGTCGAATTGAGTTCCCTGAGGAGATATGCTGAGGTCCTGACCTCCAGCACCTCAGCGTGTGACCTTGTCTGAAAAGAGGGTGCTTGAAGATGCAGTTAGAACGGTACCTCTGGTGTTCTCGAAGACAACAGCCAAGCAGACGCAGGCCTTGCGAGGGTGGCGCTCCGGAGAGCACAGGAACAGGCATGTGGCCAGCAAGCTGCAGGAAGCCAGAGAGGCAGGACGGGGTCCCTACAGGCAGACTCCCGCCGCAGAAGGCATTTCTCTTGTGCTCAGACACTCCGTTTGCGGTACTTTGTTGGGCAACCCTAAAAAACTGCTACAGTGACCTTGATCTTGAGTTCTTGCAAATAACGGGTGAGCGGGAAAAATGAGTCACATGAACATCGTGACCTACAGCTTCTCCATGACTTTCCAGTTTATTCTCTGATAAGTGAGATATTTTCAAGAACACATCCAGTGAACACAGGAATTCTGCAAAAGCAAACAACAGCTCACATACACAAAACGACAGGGAACGGAAACTTTAAAACTCTTACGTATTGACAAACGTTTTAACAAAGTCGGTGTTTACAGCATTGGTTTTCAAAGCTTAATATTTACAACAGTAGTAAAAAAACAGTTTTACAAAGTTAATTTCCTTAAACACTTCATTTCACCATTATTTATCCATTTACACACTACCAACATGATACTTTATCTCTCTTTTTTCTTTTAAAAAGCATTGGTGGGGCTGGCGTTGTGGCACAGTGGGTTAAGCTGCCTCCTGCAACGCTGGCATCCCATATGGGCACCGGGTCTAATCCAGCTCCCTGCTAATGCACCTGGGAAAGCAGTGGAGGATGACCCATGGGCTTGGGCCCCTGCACCCTCTTGGGAGACCAGGAAGAAGCTCCAGGCTCCTGGATTCAGATTGGCCCAGCTCTGGACAGGAATGAACCAGCAGATGGAAGATCCCTGTCCCTTTCTCTGTCTCACTCCAACTTTCTTAAAGTTTTTTTTTTTTTTTTAAAGCATTGGTGCTCTTAAGGCAAAATGTTCACATAGGTTCACAAAATATAAAAGAGAAAGTGAGGTTCATCCACTGGGGCTCCTTAAAGGCCTCATGCTTCCCTTGATGCTACTTTTTTTAAAGATTTGTTTATTTATTTGAAAGTCAAAGTTACAGAGAGGCAGAGAGAGAGAGAGAGAGGAAGAGAGAGGTCTTCCATCTAATGGTTCACTCCCCAGATGGCTGCAAATGGCTTTACCCATCACGCCACAGCGCTAGCCCGATACTACCTCTTAAGACACAGCACAGGTCCTCCAGTCTGCGAACCACAGGATTCGTATTTTAACAGTCGACAGCAGTGAAGTAAAACCAGGAAGTCCATGCAGTGCCAACACCTTCGGGGCTTCTGCTTTTCCACTTGGTTTGATCACTCAGCAAGCTCCTGTGAATACTGCTTGAATGACAACTGTCTGTCCCTGGCAAAAACTGTAATTCTACACCTGGGAACTGATCTACGAGATAGAGACCGCTGAACGGGATCCGATGAAGACGAACTTAGAAAATCATTTTTTTCATACTAATAAAACCCTAAAGCCAAGATAATTCTTGGAAAGATGAAACATCCCGATAAACCCAAGGGAGAGTCTATGTAACGGTAGCATCCCAGGGGCCGGGGGGGGCTCCTGAAAGCGGGGAGAAAGGCAACAACAGCCATGCGATGCTACGTGATGCCTGCAGCACAGGCTGGGCTGTGGGAACAGACGCCAAACAGGCGGCCGAGCTGCACCCATGGGACACAGCTCCCAAGAAGCACCTGCCTGAGGCCACGTGTGGTAAGTGCTGACAGCACACACGCACAAAGACCTGGTGTTATGGTAGCCGGTGAGCTTGCTCATTAAGGATGCTTTCTTGAGGCTCATTGGCCGTAGTTTATTCAACCCACCAGTGCTAATATAACGCTCCCGTTCTACATGCTTTACAAATGCGAAGTTACTTGCTCTTCCCTGCCGCCCCTGAGGTCAGTACTATCAGGAGGGGAAACGGGCACAGAGACCAAGCTGCCTAGGATGACAAAGTGTGAAAATGTAGATCTGGGGTTCAAAGCCCTCCCCGGGGAGAACTGACACTGTGAAAAGGTGTCACTCGCTTCCTGCTGAGAAGAATGCATGGCGATTTCTCTTATGAAAATTTCCCCAGGAAAACCTGCGGGCTCCTCACACAAGGGCAGGGTCTCTGAGATGACACCACATTTAAAGGAGACAGACGCCCGTGAGGCTGCACGCACGGACACAGAAGACCTCCACTCGAGCACAGGCCCGTGGGGAATCCTGAACGCGTTTTGAATGTCTGAGTCACGCTGGTTACCATTACATCCCGGGTTACCCAACTGGAAGCAATTCAGACAGCGCCTGCTCCTCTACCACAGAGATGAGTATCAAAAAGGCAGCAAATAAATAGTAAATTCACTGTTTTAAAAAGTAGTTTCAAGTACAGTTTACGAATACCCTTGTACATCCCAATTCATTACTTTATCGTATTCTTGAATTCTTTGCTTTATGTGGGAGAGTTTGTTCTTTAGGTAATCACAGCGTTCTTTTTTTTCCAGAAATGAAGGGTCCTGTAAAAGAGACACAGCTATCATTTAGCCCAGCTTCCTCACTGATGACTACAGAAACATACAACCACAACCAGAAAATGACCATACAGGCAGGACTACCTACCACAGATTTTAACAGCAACAGCTAATTCTATATTAACAACAACAACAAAAAGAAGCAAGGCGTGTTTCTGTGGTTTATTACTATATATATTTTTTACTTGTAAAAATGTGCTGATTGATTTGAGAGGGAGCGCGAGAGAGTGCTCCCATCTGCTCATTCAGTCTCCAGATACCCAGAGTAGACCCAGGCCTGGCAAGGGGTGCAAGCTGGAACCCAATCCAGGTCTCCCATGTGGGTGCAGAAACCCAACTACTTGCGCCATCATCAGTGCCTCCTAGGGTGTGTGTTAGCAGGAAATTGAGCCAGGAGTTGAACCCAGGCCCTCCAATGTGAGATATGGGTGTCTTAAATGGTGTATTAACCACTAGGCTAAATGCCTACCCCTCTACATGATTAAAATATATATAAAATATTTATATATTTTATTATAGTAATAAATATATAATATATAAATCGACATTGATATATAATGATTGTACGTATTTAGGGGGAACAATGTAACATTCCAATACATGTGTACCATGTGTAATGATCACAGCAGGGTAACTGGCATAACTATCCAATTCTTTGTATTGGGAACACTCAAAATCATGTCAGCTATTTTGAAATATTCCATTAGTTATTGTCAATCATAGTTACCCTACTGTGTAAGAAGCAACTCCTACCCAGCTGCACCCAGGGGCTGACAGCACTCTCTCCCTGCCCCTACCGCTCACACTCCCCCCAGCCTAACCACTGGTCCACCTCCACCTCTTCAGGATCAACTTTTTCGCTTCCACACAGAAGGGGGAACCCGCAAGATGTCTCTTTCCGTGCCTGACTTATTTTGCTTTCTACTTTTTAAAAAAACAGACCTTATGTTTCAGAGCAGCTTTTTCTTTAAGATCTATTTATTTATTTATTTATTTATTTGAAAGCCAGAGTGACAGAAAGGTCTTCCACCTGCTTGTTCACTCCCCAAAAAGACACAACGGCCTGGGCTGGTTCAGGCCAAAGCCAGGAGGACCCAGGAGCTCGGCTGGGTCTCCCACGGGAGGGGCAGGAGCTCAGCCACCTTGTGCTGCTTTCCCAGGAAATGGAGCAACTGGGCCTGGGACTGGTGCTCGGATAGGATGCCGGAGTCACAGGTGGCAGCTTAACCCACTGCGCCACAACGCCAGCCCCTTTTTTAGGTTTTAGGTTCACAGCAAAATTAGGTAAGAAATTAAAAGAGCGGAGGCATCTTTAGACATCTCAAGTACAACTAAAGAGTAAATAATAAACAGAAAATATTAATAACAGTTCTCTCGCGCTCCTACTGATTTGTGATATTCCGTTAAGGACAGAGTTAGAAAATTGTAGAGTAAGTTCGGGTTTTGGATCGCAATGTGGGTGAAACGAAGAACTGCACATTAGTGTTCTTTCTCTAGGTTGTAAAAGCAACACAACAGGGCATATTCAGGAGAGATTGCAAAAAAAAAAAAAAAAAAAAAAGTGACCGGGGTGGGCATTCTGGCAGAGTGAGTTAACTCACTATTTATGACACTTGCATTCCATACTGGAGCACCAGTGTAAGTGCTGGCTGCTCTGCTTCAGATCCAGCTCCCTGCTAATGCCCCTGGGAAAGCAGTGGAAGATGGTCCCAGTACCTGGGTCTCTGCCACCACGTGGGTGACTGATTGGAGTTCCCAAATTCTGCCTTCAGCTTGACCCAGTCCTGGGTCTTGCAGGCATTTGTGGAGGAAACCAATGAACGGAAGACATCTCTCTCTCTGCCATTCAAACAAGTGAAATTCTCTTCTAAGTTGCTAGTGGCAACACTAGCATCCCATATTGGAAGTACCAGTGGGAGTCCCAGCTGCTTTTTCCAATCCACCGTCCTGCTAATGTACCTGGGAAGAGCAGAAGATGGCTCACGTGGGAGATCTGAATGGAGTTCTGGACTCTGGCTTCGACCTGGACCAGCCCAGGTCATTGCAGCTATTTGGGGAGTAAGCCAGCAGATAGAAGATCTCTCTGTCTCTCCCTCTGTGTGACTTTCAAATCACTCACTCCATCAACAGATAAACAGGAAGTCTTTCCCTCTTGCCTATAACTCATTCAATAAATGAATTAAAAAGAGAGCGAGACCAGCAGGCACCTATTTTCCCTAACAGGTAACGTTTTAAGAAATATAAAAAGGAAACATGAAGCCTCCTGATTCAAGTATGGGACATTCCAAGATCCCCAGTGGATGTCTGGCCCCTCACACAATACCAAACCTGACACAAACTATGTTTTTTTTTCTATACAATAAATATAGGATAACGTTTAACTTACAACAGGGACAGCAATAACAAAATAAAACAACAATAACAATATACTCTCATAAATTGCCAGTCATTACCGCTGCAATTTTGGGGCCATTAGTAAGCAAAATATAGGTTACTTTAACACAAGCACTGTGATGCCCTGACGGGCATTCTGACAGCCAAGCTCGCAACTACGTGGCCAACAGTGCAGGCGGTGTAGGGACAAAGCAGTGACTTGCGCTCAGGGCAGGATGGAGCTGGTGACTCCATCACCTGAGTACTCAGGAAGGTGTGCACTGGACACTGGCGCACTGCTAGTTTCTGGAATTCGCTACTGAATCGTTTCAGGTCACGGCTGACTGCAGGTAACTAAATCTCAGAGAGCGAAGCCACAGCCAAGGTTGGGGGGACGATTGTGCTTCAGCTCAAAGAACTCAGCCAGGCATCACCGGTTGTCCCTGCGTAAGCACCTACATTGAAGAAGCAAACTGTTTTACTCACGTTCTTTTTCTTCATGAACTCTTCATGGATTCTTGAAATTCTCTCATGTTCCTAAAAATAACACATGTACACTTGCATTAAAACACTTGCATTTCTCTGAAGGGAGGCGAGAACTTACACTTTGCTCATGGCCTAGCGTAAATACCAATGGAGACTGTGGACTCGAAAGGCTTCCATAGCCTTGGCAGCTCATGTCAAGAACCTTGGGTGATCACGGACGTCATACATCAGAGTATTGTTAAATTAACAGCAGGAGGCACTGTGCACTAACTCCCATGTAGGACCTCTGTCCTCAATGAGTTGTACTATGAGAATTAACTGCAAAACTTGTTCTCAAACAGTTTTTTATATTTTGTGTGTGTGTGAGTGCAAATCATTGAAATCTTTACCTAGCATAGAGTTGATCTTCTGTGTATAAAGTTAATTGAAAACGAATCTCAATGGAGAATGGGACTGGGAAGGGGAGAGGGAGGAGGAGGTCAGAGTGGGAGGGTGGGTATGATTAGAAGAATCGCTATCTTCCTAAAGTTGTACTTACAGAGTCTGTACTCATTAAATAAAAGGTTTCTTAAAAAAAACTTACATTTACTCAAATCATGTCTCAAAGCACAAAAAAAAATCAATTTTTACCTAAGACGATCATAGACCTATTCCCCTGCAAAACTTCAATTCACTGGACAGATATTTGAGGGCTGACTCTGCCAGGCACGGGGACCCAGGGAGAAAGGTCCTGCTCAGAACCAGAGCCAAGGCCTAGGATCACTGCTTGCCAGCTGGCTGGCCCGGGACAGGCTGTCTATACACCCCAGGACTCAGTCTCCTCATGGGGAAGATGGGGTCACGACCTCATGAGGCTGTAAGCTGCTTCACTTAGCTGGCATCCTTAGAAGGTGGCTGGTACCCACAACCACACCCCAGCTGCTACCGTCACGTTCATCCTCTTTATGAAGTTATTCTTCCATTCCCTAGGCATCAGGATGAAGAGGCGGAGACAACTCCAGTTTTGAAAACAGCCACGGAGCAGGCATTGTGGCACAGTGGGTTAAGCCATGGTCTGGTACGCCAGCATCCCATACAGGCAGTGGTTTGAGTCCCACCTACTCCATTTGTGATCTAACTCCCTGCTAACGTGCCTGGGCAAGCAGCGGAGGATGGGGCCCAAGTGCTTGGCTCCCCGTACCCATGGGGGAGACCCTGATGAAGCTCCGTCTTTGGCCTGGCCCAGCTTTGGTTGTTGCAGGCATTTGGAGAGTGACCTAGCTGATGGAGGGTTCTCTGTGTCTCCATTTCTCACTGTAACTCTGACTTTCAAATAAATGAAGAAATCTTAAAAAACATTAGCTACTGCAACATTCCTCCTATCTTTACTCGAAGCTTTGTAATAAATAGAGTTTGTTCCAGGGCTGGACCTCCCTGAAGGGAGCAGATTCCTATTAACCTTGCGAACCTTTGCGGAGAGACTGCTGGACACCGTAACTCTGACAACAGAAAACGGAGGGCCGGAAGTTCCAGTTGCAGCACGTCTCCGGAGCACATTCCCCAAGGCTACCCGCATCCTCGCCCCACTGACGGGAACTCCTCAGTGTCTGTTCCAGATAAGACCATGAGATAGGCTGCGTTTGCACCGCTTGCCAGCAGCAACACTGAACCTGGTAATGCCAGGGTCACGACTGAGACAGCAGCAGGGCCTGGACCAGAAGAAACCGGCGCTGGGGCTGGGCTTGCCACGTGGGAAACGCAGGCAGAGACCAGAGCCGGGGAAACCAGCCCCAGGGGGTTTGTCACAGAAATGGAATCTAAGAGGTGGGGAGGACTGGAGGGATTACTCGGCCAGCGTTCCTACTTTACAGACACAGAGAAGTCTTGTGTTTGCTTTGCTTTAGAAAAAAAAAATTATTTATTTGAAACTCAGAGCTAGAAAGAGAGAGAGGTCTTCTATCCCCTAGTTCAGTCCCCAAAGGGCTGCAACAGCTGGAACTGGGCTGATCCGAAGCCAGGAGCCAGGAGCTTCTCCCTCCAGGTCTCCCATGTGTGTTGCAGGGGCCCAAGCACTTGGGTCATCTTGTGCTGCTTTGCCAGGCCATTAGCAGGGAGCTGGATCAGAAGTGGAGCAGCCTGGACTCAAACCGGGACGCCCACGTCACAGGTGGTGGCTTTACCGGCTGTGCACAATGCTGGCCCCAGCTCTTCTGCTTTTTAAAGGGTGCACAGCCAGGTGTGAGAGGCCTGTGCCTCCAGAGGACCCCCGGCCTTGAAAGGCCACCTGTGCTTTACCGGGGACAAGGCCGGAAAATGAACAGGGCCTCGCAGGACACTATCAGGTGAAAGGCTCAGAAATCAACTTGTGTGAGGCAGTTCTCTCTCTTTTATTTTTCAAAAAGAATAGTGGACAGGCAAAGTGGACAGTGAGAGAGAGAGACAGAGAGAAAGGTCTTCCTTTGCTGTTGGTTCACCCTCCAATGGCCGCCGTGGCCAGCGCGCTGCGCTGATCCGAAGCCAGGAGCCAGGTGCTTCTCCTGGTCTCCCATGGGGTGCAGGGCCCAAGAACTTGGGCCATCCTCCACTGCACTCCCTGGCCACAGCAGAGAGCTGGCCTGGAAGAGGGGCAACCGGGACAGAATCCGGTCTGGGACTAGATCCCCGACTGGGACTAGAACCCGGTGTGCTGGCCCCGCAGGCAGAGGATTAGCCTAGTGAGCCGCGGCGCCGGCCCGTGAGGCAGTTCTTAGTTCTGCTCCAGATAATGCCTGCAGGAGACACCGACAGTGGCTGTGGGCCCGTTACTTTGGTTACCGTATTTGCCAGGTCACCTTAAACCTGAGAGGTCACCAGTGCAGCTGGTTTGTGCAGCAGCATTCTGGGAAGACCCCAGCGCCCGCCCCCGCCCACAGACACTGGGGCCAGGGCTGCCTCTCAGCCAGCCCACCTGCTCCCCAGCCTGTGCTGATCTGGGTTTGGGGGGCTTCTCACTCCCACATGCAGTGCCTGGGGGGGCCATAAACCAGGCCGCCCTGCTGGGACCTGTGGACCTGGGTGTTTTCGCCCTGCTGGGACCTGTGGACCTGGGTGTTTTCGCCCTGCTGGGACCTGCGGACCTGGGTGTTTTCCAAATGGTGCCACTCCTGCTTCTCATGCTGATGTCTCTTGGCCAATACTACTCCATCGCTCCAGGACTGGGAAAATGTCACTGCTGCACGCCTGTGGCTTAGCTAGCTCATAATCAGAACTGATTTAAAAACATACACTTCAAAAGATGGAACTGAAACCAAGATGCCTGACACAAGTTTTCAGGAGAATTTATGTGCATGTAGGTGTATATGTTCACATGAAGGCATTTGACATCCCTTGGAAAGTTGTGTGAGTTTTAAGTTTTAATTAGGGGCTGGTGTTGTGGTGCAATGTTAAGCCACTGTCTGTGATGCCAGCATCCCATATGAGCACCGGTTCGAGTCCCGGCTGCTCCTCTTCCAATCCAGCTCCCTGCTAACGGCCTGGGAAAGCAGCAGAAGATGCCTCAAGTACTTGGGCTCCTACACCCATGTGGGAGACCTGGATGAAACTCCTGCCTCCTGGCTTCAGATTGGCCCAGCTGTGGCTGTTGGGGAGTGAACCAGTAGATAGCAGATCTCTCTCTCTCTCTGTAACTCTTTCAAATAAATAAGAAAACTTTTTTTTTTAGAAAGTACACTGTTTTCCTTATGTTTTTAAGGTTTATTTATTTGAAAGGCAGAGTTACAAAGAGGTAGAGGCAGAGACACAGAGAGGTCTTCCATCCATTGGGTCACTCCCTAAATGGCCCCAAAGGACAGAGCTGCACCAATCTGAAGCCAGGAGCCAGGAGCTTCTTCTGGGAGTCCCACGTGGGTGCAGGAGCCCAAGCACTTGGGCCATCTTCTACTGCTTTCCCAGGCCATAGCAGAGAGCTGGGCTGGAAGAGGAGCAGCCGGGACTGGAACCTGCACCCATATTTGGGATGCCAGCGCTGCAGGCAGTGGTTTTACTTGCTACACCACAGCGCCGGCCCCAATAAACGTTTTTAAAAGAAAGTAAGAGGAGCAGTGAAAACACTGTGCTAAGTGGGAGAGGTCAGACAACAAGGGACCACTGAGACTGCATTTCCGAGAAACGCTCCAGACAAAGCCGCGAGACACGAGGCAGGTCAGCGGCTGGGTCCCGGGCAGGCCTGGGCCGGAATGGCCATGCGGGATGCGGGGTTCCCCCGGGGGCGGCCGCCTGTGTCGCGATGGCAGCAACTCTTGTGCAGACTAAACACGACAGACTCAGAGGCCTGAAGGGGTGGATTTACGGTGAACTACTTAAAAAAATACACACCTGACCCCCCCCAAAAAAAACCGCATCCCTATTGTAGATAAAAATGTGAGAAATCTAAGCAGAAAAGGCCAGCACGACAGCAAATGCTCCCGCGGCCCCGCCGTGCCCGCACGCCCCTCACAGCGCTCGCGTGCGGGATAGCGCACACGCGGGCTGCCCGGGTCTCCGCCCGCCCCCGGCGCCCCGCCCCCGGCGCCCTCCCTTCCCCGTCGGAGCGCACGGCCGACCCGGGCGGCGTCTCAGGCCCCGGCGCCGCCAGCAGGGGGCGCACCCCCGCCCCCGGCCCGCGTCTCGGCGCCCCAGGCGGGCCCGACCTGGCGGTTGTCGGAGCGGTGCGGCAGCCTGCTCAGGACGGCGTCGAGCTCCTCGAACTTCCGCAGCACGGCCTGCACTTCGGCCGACAGCTCTTTGTACTCGGAGAACTGGTCCTGGAACACGGCCTTGTAGCGCTCGCGCTCGTCCTCCGTCTGGATGGCCGGGTATTTCCTGGGAAGCACAGGAACCCGGCTCAGCTTGGGGCCACACCCGCGGGATGGGCGACACCCGAGCTGGCCCTCCGCGGCCCTGCTGCGCCCTCAGGTCGATGCCACCCCGGACGCTAGGGACCAGAGGGCGGCAGGGTTTGACCTTTGCGGATCTGCGGAGATCTGCATGCACAAATGAGACACCGGGCGCTGGGGAGCGAGTTTAAACAGGAAATTCGATATTTCATGCACACACACATTGCCCAGAGTGTAGACGATACTTTGAAGAACTTTGTGCACAAAACAAAGTGTCATGGAGTGGAATTTTCCCACTGTGGCCTCATGTTGGTGTTCCAATGGTTTTACATTTCGGAATGTTTCAGATTTAGGATTTTTGGACCGGAGATGTTCAACCTGTATTACTTGTCAGATAACAAGCAGCTTTTCATATAAATGATTTTAAGGAGGGGCCAGCGCTGTGGCGTAGTGGGCACTGCAGTGCCGGCATCCCATATGAGCACCGGTTCTAGTCCCGGCTGCTCCACTTCCGATCCAGCTCTCTGCTATGTCCTGGGAAAGCAGCAGAAGATGGCCCAAGTGCTTGGGCCCCTGCACCCACGTGGGAGACCCGGAAGAAGCTCGAAGCTCCTGGCTCCTGGCTTCCGATGGGCACAGCTCCAGCCCATGTGGCCAATTGGGATTGGGGAGTGAACCAGCTGATGGAAGACCTCTCTCTCTGCCTCTCCTGCTCTCTCTGTGTAACTCTTTCAAGAAAAATAAATAAATCTTTTAAAAAATGATTTTAAGGAGAGTATTTTATCTTAGATTTGTAAAAAAAAATTATTTGAAAGATACATACACACATAGAGAGAAAGAGATAGATGTCTCTGGTCCACTCCCAAATGCCTCCAACAGCTGAGGCTGGGCGAGGCTGAAAGTCGTCTTGGTCTCCCGCGTGGGTGGCAGAGCCTGCACCTGCTGCTTCCCGAGTCCACGTTACAACAGCAAGACGCTGCAGTGGGAAAGCCGCTGGGGCTCCGACGCGGCTGTCTTAACTGCTGTGCCAAGTGCCCACCCCCGAACACAGAGTATCAGTCTGGAAGACGGAAGGCCCAGAGGAGACCCCCTCTCCCTAGCCTCTCCCTTCTGAGGAGTTCCCACGGACACTCACGCCACGTAGTCGGGCATCACGATGGGCTTAGGGATGTAGCCCGGGGGGATGTGGCCACTCAGGAGTTCAGGTTTCATTTTTGTTGTCCTCAGCTCTTTGCAGTGAACTTCTGGGTCTCTTTGTCTGTCTCCGGCGGCCATTTCACACTGCAGTTTGGGAGAAAAAAGGAATTTATGTTTAACTACAGGCACACCCACAGAAAGATTACCCGGATTTGTTCCTAGAAGACAGTGGAGAGGGGGCAGGAAGAAGAGTGGAGATGGTAACACTTCCCTTCAGAGTCACACGTCCCTGGGCACAAGGGTATTGGGAATGTTTCTGCAGAAGCGGAAGGAACCTGTGTTTGAATGTGGGAGTACACAACAGGTGAAAAGACTCTCAACCCCAGTGATGCACCTGTCAGAGGTGGAGGATGAACTGTCCAAGCCAGGGTCTCGAACTCTCAGGACCCTCCCGTAACTGTTCAGGAATAAAAAGTTGTGGTTCACGGGCTGCCATTTGGCCCAGCAGTTTAGACGATGCTGATGGTACAGCAGCTTAAGCTGCTGCTTGTGACACCCACATCCCCGGCTGGTCCAGCTTCCTGCTAACAAACCTGAGAAGGCAGTGGGTGATGGCCCAAGTCCCTGGGCCCCTGCCACCTACAACGGAGACCAGGATGGAGTTCCAGGCTCCTGGCGTTCATCTGGCCCAGTCCTGGCTGTTGCAGCCATTTGAAGAGTGAACCAGCAGATGGAAGATCCCGCTCTCTCTCTGTCTCTATGTCACCGTGGCTTTCAAATAAATAAAAGTAAATCTTGAAAAATAAGACTACACTTCTTGGGAGGTCCGCATTCCATATCAGAGTGCCTGGGTTTAAGCTTCAGCTTCACTTCCGATTCCAGTTTTCTGCCACTGTGAAGCCCGGGAGGCAGCTGAAGTACTTTGGGCCCCTGGCACGCATGTGAGAAATCTGGACTGGATTCTGGGCTCCTGGCTTTGGCCTGGCCCAGCCCTGGCTGTTGCAGACATTTTGGAGTGAACCAGCAGATGGTAGATCTCTGTATCTGTCTCTTTCTGCCTTTCAAATGAAATGAAAACATTTGTAAATGTAACTCAAAATAATAAATTTAGGAATAAAAATAGAACAAGACAACTTAAATGGAAAGAGAAAAAAATGACAATGGAAACTTGAGATAAGTAGCTGTCAAGCAGTGAGATCAAAAATGAGTTACATGGAACCGGCACTGTGGCGCAGTGGGTAGGGCCCCTGCCTGCAGCACCAGCATACCATATGAGTGATGGTTCAAGCCCTGGCTGCTCCACTTCTGATCCAGCTCCCTGCTAATGCACCTGGGAAAGCCACAGCAGACGGCCCAAGTACCTGGGTCCCTGCAGCCACATGGGAGACCTGGATAGACTTCTAGATTTCTGGTTTCTGCTTGGCCCAGCCCCGGCCAGTTCCTGCGCTGTCTCGGGTTCTCAGAGGCCTTTTTAGTTAAAAAAAGAAAGAAAATTCTGCATCCAAAAAAGGAAAAGAGAATATAAAGTGCACTAGCCCAGAGAGGAAGTATCAGAGTCAGGCTTACGGAGCTGACGGAGGCAGCAGGACTGGACGAGCCAGAGGAATGCCCTCTGGGACGGGCAGGCGAAGAGCGATGCTCAGCTTGGGAGTTGGAAAAGAGCGTCCAGGGTGCCACTGGGCAGTGCCCAGATCGTCAACCAACTTGGTGAGGACGGCGGATGCCAGAAGAAAGGGAAGCAGGGAGGTTTGGAGGGGTCAAGTGAATTCCGTAAGGTCACACAGCTATTCAGAGGAAAAGCCGCAGCTAGAACTCAGAACCGTCTGGCTAGTCAAGGAAAGCTGTGCACCTACTATGTTCACCCCCGCGGCTAGCTGCCTGAGCTCCTGGTGGCACACCAGACGCGCAGAAGCGTGCTGGAGGAAAGCCTCCCGCTTGGGGGCCTGCGGTCTTTGTAGCATTGGCCTCTCCCCTCTCCTCCCCTTGAGCCTTCAAGAAGTGCTTGTTGAACTCAGCCTGCAAAACCAAACACAGCGGCTTGGGAGGGCCCCGACCGACCGCACTGCAAACAAACACAAAATGGGATTTTCAAACCTCGCTCTTTATCTCACTGGGCAGCTTTTGAAGTCCTTTGTTTCCTGACTTCCTTACTCTGAGACTGGCTTTGAGGTCTGCGTTAACAGGAGCTCATTGTAAAAAAACTACCAGCTCTCAACTCACTGCCAGCACCCCCGTGGGGTGGGATCAGACACGGAGGCTGCTGACCCATCAGCCAACGGGAAGGTTGTGAAGGGGGGAAGCCGGGCGCTGTGCACAGGGTGGAACTGGAACCGGATCACCTAGACCTGGGACAGCGCACCGGGGAGAGTGGGAGCGCCAGCGAGCGAGGCGTCGCAGGGAACGCACTGGGCTGTGAGGATTCATTCCGCTGCCTTCTCCGCTGGCTAGGATGCCGTTTCTTCACCCTAATAAATTCCTGCATGCTTAATCTGGAAAATGAATCCTGATAATAAAACGTCACGTGACTCTCCTTTGGTCCAAATCAATGGGTTTCGATTTCATGACCTCTCCAGCTTCTAAATATTTCAGAGTGCTGCGGCAGGCGCTTGTTTAAGCTGCCCCGTGGGTGGAGGGGGTGAGTCCCTGGGTTTCAGCAGCAGCGGGAGTCCGAGCTCCGACTTCCTGGTCAAAGTCATGAGCAGTGAGTGCCCAAGTGCTCCTGGGTTTCCGTGTAGGGAGTTTTTCTCAGGAAATAACCACACAACTGCCCATACCTACTGACAGGATTTAACTCTTTATATAACAAGGGAGCTTTAAGAAGTCAGAGGGAGCTGGCATGGGGCAGCAGGTTAAGACGTGGCCTGTGACGCCAGCATCCCATATCAGAGCACTGGTTCCAGTCCTGGCTGCTCTGCCCAGATCCAGCTCCCTGCTAATGTGCCTGGGAAAGCCCTAGATGATGGCCCAAGTGCTTGGGCCTCTGCGTCCACATGGGAGACCTGGATGGAGTTCCAGGTTCCTGGCTTTGGCCTGGCCAAGTGCTGGCCACTGAGGTCATTTAGGTAGTGAACCAGCAGATGGAAGATCTGTCTGTCTCTGTCTCTGTAACCCTGCCTTTCAAATAAATAAAATAAATCTTAAAAAAAAAAAAATAAACCACCATGGTATGGAAGGCTAAGCTTCTGTCTGTGACACTGGCATCCCATATGGGCACCAGTTCTAGTCCCGGCTGCTCCTCTTCTGATCCAGCTCTCTGCTGTGGCCTGGGAAAGCAGTGGAAGATGGCCCCAAGTACTTGAGCTGCTGCACCTGTGTGGGAGACCTGGAAGAAGCTCCTGGCTCCTGGCTTCGGATTGGCCCAGCTCCAGATGTTGTGGCCATTTGGGGAATGAACCAACAGATGGAAGACCTCTCTCTTTGGCTTGCCATCTCTGTAACTCTACCTCTCAAATAAATACATAAATCTTTAAAAGAAAAAAAAAGTCAGCCTAGTATATAGTCCAAACAAGGGACAGGAAACTGAAGTTCGGAGAAGCTGAGCAAACTTCCCCAGGATCACAGAGCTGGGCACTGAGCTAGAGCTCAGACTCACGTCCTCGCCCTCACTCGGCACTGCTACGAGGGGTGAGCGTTCTTCTCTGCTAGGAAGCAGCGAAGAGGGTGAAATTCATCGGCAGGGTGCAGCTGGCAGTTCTGACTGTTCTATGGGGCTTCTCATCTCTAATGCTACCAGAGTCCGTGATGAATGTGTGAGATTCCCTCAGGCAGGCAGAGGGCTCCCCAGGGACACATGTTGAGCAGCCCAGGTGCTCCACAGGCCACAGTTTGTTGAGTGCTGACACGACAATCGAAAACTTTCAGATTTTGGCTTTTGGAATTTTAGATTACAGAGGCTCGACAGGGGAAGGCTGTGCAAACGTTGCAAAACCTGAAACAAATCCCACTACACTTCTGGTCCAGAGAACGTCCCAGGAGGAGAGCTGCAATCCTCTGACCTTCGTTTAAGTGGGTGGGTTTGCAACACTAGGTCTGTGCTGCCTCCTGAGAAAGACTGCTTCAATATTCTGCAGACAGCTGAAGGCAGCCTCACCCACCCAGCCTGGTCAGATGTCCACTGACTTCTGAAGATCTATGAATAGCCTGCAGAAATCCCAGCAAAACTCTTCGGTTTGTGTGACCTCACCCAGGTTACAAATACTTCAGTGCAACTGACTCTTAAAAAAACATGCCTAGGCCAGTGCTGCGGCTCACTAGGCTAATCCTCCGCCTTGCGGCGCCGGCACACTGGGTTCTAGTCCCGGTCGGGGCACCGGATTCTGTCCTGGTTGCCCCTCTTCCAGGCCAGCTCTCTGCTGTGGCCAGGGAAGGCAGTGGAGGATGGCCCAAGTGCTTGGGCCCTGCACCCCATGGGAGACCAGGATAAGTACCTGGCTCCTGCCATCGGATCAGCGTGGTGCGCCGGCCACAGTGCGCTGGCCGCGGCGGCCATTGGAGGGTGAACCAATGGCAAAGGAAGACCTTTCTCTCTGTCTCTCTCTCTCACTGTCCACTCTGCCTGTCAAAAAAATAAAAAATAAAAAATAAAGAAAACATGCCTCGCTACAGGTCCTGGAGGACGCTCTGACATCACTGATCAGCTGCTTTCCTCGGGAGAGGTTGAAGAAAAAGCAATCCCTAAGCAAGTTATTTATAGTCCTTGATGAATAGACACCACGCTCTGCTAATCTTTGGTCTGCTTTTCTTTCCCACCGGATTTGAGGGGCAGGCACGGTGGCACAGTGGGTAAAGACACTGCCATGGTGCTGGCATCCCATACGGGCACTGGTTGGCGTCCCAGCTGCTCCAATTTCTATCTAGCTCCCTGCTAACGGCCTGGGAAAGCTGCTGAAGATGGCCCAAGTGCTTGGGCACCTGTACCCACGTGGGAGATCAGGAAGAAGCTCCTGGCTCCTGGCTTTGGATTGGCCCAGTTCTGGCCGTTGCAACCATTTGGGGAATGAACCAGTGGATGGAAGACCTCTCTCTGTCTCTCCTTCTCTCTGTAACTTTGCCTCTCAAAACAATAAATAAATCTCTTTTTTTTTTTTTTTTTTTGACAGGCAGAGGTAGACAGTGAGAGAGAGAGAGACAGAGAGAAAGGTCTTCCTTCCATTGATTCACTTCCCTAATGGCCACTGCAGCCAGCGTGCTATGCCAATCCAAAGCCAGAAGCCAGGTGCTTCCTCCTGGTCTCCCATGGGGTGCAGGGCCCAAGCACTTGGGCCATCCTCCACTGCCTTCCCAGGCCACAGCAGAGAGCTGGCCTGGAAGAGGAGCAACCAGGACAGAATCCAGCACCCTGACCGGGACTAGAACCCGGAGTACTAGCACTGCAAGCGGAGGATTAGCCTAGTGAGCTGTGGCACCGGAAAAATAAATAAATCTTTAAAAAAATTAAAAAAGAAAAATTCATGGAAAATATAATATGAAGTAACTACACATTGATTTAAAAAAATTCTGGTGCCCAAATAAACTTTTAAAAAAGATCTATTTATTTATTTGAATGTCAGTGTTAGAGAGAAGGAAAGACACACAGAGAGAAATCATTTATCCACTGGTTCACTCCCCAAATGGCCACAACAACCGGGGCTGAAACTATGAGCCAGGAGCCTCTTCCAGGTCTCCCAGGTGGTGGCAGGCTCAGGGACTTGGGCCATCTTCCACTGCTTTCCCAGGTGCATTAACAGGGAGCAAGACAGGAGGCATAGCCGCCGGGACTTGAACTGGCTCAACCTGCTGCACCACAAGGCCAGCCCCTAAATTTATCTTTTAATTCCATTTTCCATGAAATTTTTGAAGCACTTCTGAAAGGAAATCCACGATATTGATAGTACTGGTCCCTCCGGGGGGTATGAAAATGTGAGAAGAGATTGTATTACAGACCTTTCTGAGTTTTGAGCCAAGGAAATATAATCTTTTGTCAAACAAATTCAAAGGCTGGATTCTCCATAGAAATAATGCACAGTACCTTGAAAAAATTTAATGAATATAAAAATGACTATTAAAATATATTAAATTATTACATGTTTATTGATAATTATATTGATAGCAACTCACTAATCCTCTCTGCAAACTCCTGAGGCACAGAATATCATTGCTGGGGTCAGCGTTGCAGCAGAGCGGGTCAAGCCACTGCCGCTGGCACCAGCATTCCATGTGGGCGCTGGTTTGTGTCCTAGTGGATTTGGTTCCGATCCAGCTCCCTGCTACGGCCTGGGAAAGCAGGAGAAGATGGCCCAAGTGCGTGGCCCCTTCACCTACATGGGAGACCGAAAAGTAGCTCCTGGCTCCTAGCTTTGGCCTCGCCCAAACCCAGCCGTGTTGACCATTTGGAGAGTGATGTGGGGAGCAACTCGGACTAGACTAAGTTACTGGAATTAAGACTTATTCTATGCATCTGCTCTCCCACAATATGGCGCTGAGAAGGGAGAAACAGCTTCTACACAGCTGCCTCCAGTTCAACCAATGAACTGTAGGACCTGCTCCTGATTGGAGGAGAGCAGCGTACTCGGCGTGTGGGTAGCAGAGTTGGGATTGGTGGAAGAGGACTATAAAGGAGGAGAGAGACGGCATGCACCAGGAACATCTAAGGAACATCTATCTGAAGGAACACCTGTGCAGCCCCCGAGAGAGCCGGCCGGCGGTGTGCCGCTCCCCTGCGGAAGTGGGGAAAGTGGCCAGGGGGAACCGCCCTTCCACGGAGGTGGAGGGACGGTAGCCAACCCGGGAAGAACCAGCAGCAAACCCGGGGAGGGCCGAGCAGACAAAAGAACAGCGCAGGGTCCTGTGTCGTTCCTCCACGAAGACGGGGAGCGACAAGTGAATCAGCAGATGGAAGATATCTCTCTCTCTGTTTCTCCTCTTCTCTCTGTAACTCTATCAAATTAATAAAGAGATATTAAAAAAAAAAAAAAAAAAAAGAAGAAGAAGGGGCCGGCGCTGTGGCACAGTGGATTAAAGTCCTGGCCTGAGGTGCCGGCATCCTATATAGGCACCAGTTCAAGACCCGGCTGCTCCACTTCCGATCCAGCTTTCTGCTATAGCCTGGGAAAGCAGTAGAGGATGGTCTAAGTCCTTGGGTCCTTGCACCCACGTGGGAGACCCGGAGGAAGCTTCTGGCTTCGGTTTGGCATAGCTCCAGCCATTGCAGCCATCTGGGGAGTGAACCAGTGGATGGAAGACCTCTGTCTGTATCTACCCTCTCTTTGTAACTCTGTCTTTCAAACAAATAAAATAAAAAAAAGAAATTTGTGTTGTTATTCCCATTTTACAGATGAAGAAACAAAGGCATACCTATGGGCACAGCTAGTAAACAGTGGAACAGAAATTCCCAGATGTGACATTTGGCATCACAAAGCCAGATGAGAGAAACAGAAAATAACTCAGTGTAATAGGTACACTTTCACAGATGGATGACTCTTGTATGTTGATACATAAATAGGAGAGTAAAGTATCTAACCATCTCAAAGTATAATGTGCAGTAAACTTTATTCTTACCATTTTCCTTTTCGATGGCAATGATGATTCATTTATCTGGAACAGAAAGAGTAAAAATGATTTTCCAATGGTGTATGAAGCCACTTGGCAAATATTTCCATGCATCTGCCTTCATAAACCTCAATTTTACGGAGGTTGATCTTCAGCTTGACAGGTGCCCCTCCAGCTCTTTAACCTGGTACTCCACAGGCCACAGAGGACCCACTGAATTTCCTGTCGATCCGGAGCGGACACAGGAGTAGGAAACACCAGAGGGTGGGGACTTTGAGTCGCCCAGGGACTTTGTGCCCTCCTAGCTCCCACTACCTCATCAGCTGAAGTGCAGGGACGTCCACCTTATAAATCAATAGAGAAAAGCCACACAGACAGGCACAACCTTCAGCCTCAGGGGCCTCACATCCATCCAGCATGACGAAGTCTCAGTGAGTTTTTATTGGGAAAGGAAAAATGAGTAAAAGTGTTAAAGGTGACAAACTAATCATATTCGTGTAGAATTTTGAAATACTGTTTTTATTTCAGGGCCAGCATTGTGACGTGGCAGGTAAAGCTGCCATCTGCAGTGCAGGCATCCATGTGGGCACAGGTTCGAATCCCAGATGCTCCACTCCTGATCCAGCTCCCTGCTAATGCACCTGGAAAAGCAGTGGAAGATGGCCCAAGTCCTTGAGCCCCTGTACCCGCATAGGAGACCAGGATGAACCTCCAGGCTCCTGACTTCACCCTGGCCCAGTACTGCCTGTTGTAGCCATTTGGGGAGTGAACTAGTGAATGAAAAATCCCTCTTTCTTGGCCAGTGCTGGCGCTGTGGCTCACTTGGCTAATCCTCCACCTGCGGTGCCGGCACCCCGGGTTCTAGTCCCGGTCGGGGCGCCGGATTCTGTCCCGGTTGCTCCTCTTCCAGGCCAGCTCTCTGCTGTGGCCCGGGAGTGCAGTGGAGGATGGCCCAGGTGCTTGGGCCCTGCACCCGCACGGGAGACCGGGAGGCTTCAGATCAGTGTAGCACCATTTGGGGGGTGAACCAGCAGAAGGAAGACCTTTCTCTCTGTCTCTCTCTCTCACTGTCTAACTCTGCCTGGCAAAAACAAAAACAAACAAAAAAAAAACTCTCTCTCTCTCTCCTTGTCTCCCCTCCTCTCTCCATAATTCTTTCAATTAAGTAAATAAATCTTTTAAAAAATGTTATTATTTTGAAATATTATATTGCTAAACTAGCATGAAATTATAATTAAGGTATGACTTTTACTATCTGGATTTTATACTGATTAGTATTTAAAATTCTCTATTTTGTAGAGAGATGTAAATTCAAGAAACATGCTTAGAAGTGTTTAGATAAATTTGTAGATATAAGAGTTCTAGAAAGATAAATAAATTCTCTGACTATAGAGTACAGATCACATTGAGGTTGAGGTTCTTTGTATTACACATAGAAAACTTGTTATAAAGCTATTTGTGTGGGTGGGTGCTTGGCACGTTGGTTAAGTTGATGATTGGGACACCCACATCCCATATTGGAGTGCCTGGTTCGAGACCTCACTTCTCTGCTTACAATTTAGTTTCCTGCAAATACACACCCTGGGAGGGAGCAGATGACAGCTCACGCACTTGGGTCCCTGCAACCAGTTATAGGAAACCTGGATGGAGTTCTGGGCTCCTGGCTTTGGCCTGACCTAGGCCTGGCTGCTGTGGGCGTTTGAAAAATGAACCACCAGATGGAAGATATGTCTATCTTTCTGTCTTTCAAATAAAATGAAAATAAATAAAAAATTTTTTACAACACTAAAATTATTTTTGTTGTTATGTTCCAGATTCATGGAAAAGATTAAAAACACAATAGACAAGTATATGAAAATGTGTGCTTTTTTAAGGACAGGATTTAATTTTTCTTTATAGTTTCATTCTATAGTAGTGCAATGGTAGAGTATCTAAAAAGTTAGGGGAAAAAAACCTCATGATATAGTTAACCTAAAATTAAGGAAAAGTTTCTGGTAAATACTAGAATATTCAGTAGTATAGGAGGTTCTGCTCTATACACTGACTTAGGAGAAAGCAAAAACATTGATTTTTCTCATGTTGCAATGAGGCTAGAAGAATAGACCTTAACATTTTTACCACTGCTTAGCTAAAATATTTTAAATACAGATTTTACACAATTATATCCTTCAGGTATTATTATTTATTCCCCTTATTACTATTATTACATTTAATTATTAAATCCTAGAAATAAAAACAAGTGCAAGACTTCCATTCTGATTTCGGAACACCCATGTCCCCACATAAGGGTGAAATATCAACCGCATTAGGTGAGTTATCAGGGTACACGTTCAGTGCCAGTTCTCAGGAATCCAGAAAAATCGAACTTGGTTCACTGTATTCTCACCTGGCTTTAACAAGGGCACCCCCAGTGTGAGTTACCCCAGCTAAACGCATGTCAGATACTGAGCCAGGGCTTCTGAAACTCAGCTCATTAAAAAGACCGGGGGCTGGCATTGTGGCATAGCGGGTAAAGCCATGGCCTATGACGCATCAGCAACCCCTACGGGCCCTGGTTCCAGTCCCCGCTGCTCCATTGTCTACCCAGCTCCCTGCTAATGACCTGGGAAAGCAGCAGAAGATGGCCCAAGTCCTTGGGCCCCCTGCACCCACTTGGGAGACCCAGAAGAAGCTCCTGGCTCCCCGCTGTGGTCATCTAGGGAGGGAAGCAGCAGGTGGAAGACTTTCCTTTCTCTCTCTGTTAACTCTCTCAGTAAGTAAATAAATCTTTAAAAAATCAAACAGGAGATCGCTACACATTTTTAAGCAGGGAGTCGAGGACAGGAAAAAGGAGAGTGTGAAACCCCTTACCTCTTGCTGCTGCATGTACTCCCGGTGTCTGCGAGCCGCCTCGTGCCTCCACAGTTTGAGGCACACCAGGGCACTGATGAGATACACTATCATGGTGACAAACAGGAAGATCATCGCGGCTATCTGGCCGCCTTCCACCCGGCAGAACACCGCGTTCACGGGCGTGTTGAATAACGGGTAGTAGCAGAGGCCGCCGCGGTTGGTGTCGTTCACATAGACTATGGCTGCGGCCATGTACAAGATGAACAGGGCCACGTTGATGCCAAACTCCGTGAGGGGCCACCAGTGGGAGTCCAGGAGAATGGTCCGGTAGTACATGGACATGCCAAGCACCAGAATGATAATGGTGGCTACCCAGGCTAGGCCAGCCACCACCAGCACGAAAGGGGTCTTGGGGCCACTGTAGTAGTAGCCCCCATACATGCTGCCCAGGCCGCCCGCGCCTCCCACCCCGTAGGGCTGGTTGTAGCCGAACAGGTTGTACCACTCGCTGTCCTTGTGGATGTAGGCAGTGACACAGGCGAAGACGCCGGCCCCCAGCAGCAGCTGCACCACGCCCAGCAGCCGCAGCAGGCCGGCCCAGGACTTCATGTAGGAGTAGCGCAGGTGGTACTCCTCCACCTTCTCGCTGTAGGTCCGGGCCGACTGCGTGTGTCGCCCCAGGGAGCCGTCGGGATCGTGGGCCATCATGGCATCCGCCTCTTTCCGGGAGTGGAAGGTTCCTCCGGACCCACCGTCGGGCTCTCTGCAGGAGCTGGCCGGGGAGCGGTGGTTGGCTCTGGCCGGGGAGGCTGGAGGGGAGCACTCCACGCCGTCGGAGATGTACCTGATGTCAGACACGGACTTGGCCCATTGCGGCTCCTTTTTCTTGCCTCTGAAGAAGTTCTTCCAGGAGTCGGGGACGAAGCGCCTGACAGGTTTGAGATCCGGGGCGACGGCAGGCTCCTCGGTGTCACTTGAGTAGAAGTCGGGGCCGAAGGGTGGCTGTAACGGGAGAGGGGGCGGGGGCAGGGGATCGGCACTCAGGGCCAGCTCGCTGTCCTGAAGGCTCTGCAGGGTTCTCAGGGTGCCGTCTCCACGGGGCGCGTCCCCGGGGACCTCGCTGTAGCCCCGGTCCCGAGTCCTGGATCTTCCATCACTGGACGACATCGGTGATGCTCGGGCCTGCAGTCAAGACGGAAGGATCACTTAGACTCACCTGTCCTGTCCTGATGCGGACCTTGTCCACAGAGTAGCAAAAAGTGTTCCAGAAGCAAACACGAGTGTGCCTAATCAAGTAAAAAGGAATAAAATACCCAAGCACATTACAAACACACAGAACAGCTAGATTACCTGGAGACTTTGTCATTATTCTAAGCATTTAAAGGGCAATAAAAATCTTAAATCTTAATTCCGAGTTTTACATAATGAAGCATTTATGAGTCTAATCACCTAGGAGCCCTATAAATAACAAAGTGTACAAAATCAGATCAAAGGAACAAGTTCTTAGTGTTGCACAGCAAAACAGGGTGACTATAGTTCACAATAACCTAGTACACATTTTATGAACAAATAGAAGAAAGGAGGGCCCAGTGTAGTGGCATGGTGGGCAAATCCACCACCTGCAGCGCTGGCATCCCATATGGGCACCGATTTGAGTCCTGGCTTCTCCACTTCCAATCCAGCTCTCTGCTATGGCCTGGGAAAGCAGTGGAAGATGGCCCAAGTCCTCAGGCCCCTGCACCCACACGGGAGACCCCAAGAAGTTCCTGGATCCTGGCTTCGGATTGGTGCAGCTCCAGCTGTTGCGGCCATTTGGGGAGTGAACCAGCAGACAGAAGACCTCTCTCTCTCTCTCTCTGTAATTTCACCTTTCTTTTCTTTTTTAAAGATTGATTTATTTATTTGAAAGTCAGAGTTCCACAGAGAGAGAAGGAGAGGCAGAGAGAGAGAGCGAGAGAGAGAGAAAGAGAGGTCTTCCATCCGCTGGTTCACTCCCCAACTGGCTGCAATGGCCGGAGCTGCGCTGATTCAAAGCCAGGAGCCAGGAGTCTCTCCCCTATCTCCCATGCGGGGGCAGGGGCCCAAGGACTCGGGCCATCTTCCGCTGCTTTCCTAGGCCACAGCAGAGAGCTGGACTGGAAGTGGAGCAGCTGGGACTCGAACCAGCACCCATATGGGATGTTGGCATTGCAGGAGGTGGCCTTACCTGCTATGCCACAGTGCCAGTCCCCCACCTTTCAAATAAATAATAAATCTTTAAAAAACAAAAAGAAGAAGAAAAGAGCTCTAAGCTTCCAATCAAAAAGTAATGTAAGGGTCTGGCACTGTAGCACAGCAGGCTAAGCCACCATGTGCTAATGCACCTGGGAAAGCAGTGGAAGATGGTCAAGTGCTTGGGCCTCTGTATTATGTGGGAGACCTGGAAGAAGCTCCTGGCTCCTGGCTTTGGCCTGGCCCAGCCCTGACTGTTGTGGCCATCTGGGGAGTAAACCAGCGGATGGGAGATCTCTGTCTCTCCCTTTCTCTCTGTAATTTTGACTTTCAAATAAGAAAAATAAATCTTAAAAAAGTAACAGAAGGGGAGAGGCTGTTGTGGCACCATGGGTTAAGCTGCAGTCTGTGATGCCAACATCCCATGAGTACTGGTTCGAGTCCTGGCTGCTCAATTTGCAATCCAGCTCCCTGCTGATGCACCTGAAAAAGCAGTGGAAAATGGCCTGAGTGCTTGGGCTCCTGGCTTCAGCCTGGCCCAGCCCCATTGAGGCCATTTGGGAGTGAACCAGTGGATGGAAGATCTCTCTTCTCTGTCTCCCTCTTTCTCTGTGTAACTCTGCCTTTCAAACACAAATAAATTAAATCTTTAAAAAAAAAAAAAAAAAGGTGGGGAGGGGAATGTTGGTTTAATCAGCATGCATTGTATAAGTGTGTCGTATACATTGTATACTGTAGCTCACAAACGTGCAGCTATTGATAATAAAACAATTAACAATACATTTTTTAAAGCCCCCCTAAAGCAAAAATGACAGAATGTCAACACTGCAGAAAGCTAACACACTCCCAAGTGGAGTCTTAAACGTCCAAATCAAAACATTCGCCCCTGTGAGCACGCAGAGACTTGCTGGGTCAGCACATGCTTCGTCCTCATTACCACACCTGCTGGGGAACAGCCACGCACAGTCTGACACACAGGCTGGGAGGGTCCATGTCTTCCCAGACCAAGGAAGTGCTGACAGGACTCGCTTCCGCGCCAAAATATTCACACATGACACCAGATTCGAAAAACTGAATTTACAGATTTTCAGAGATAAAAGTCACCAAAGGCAAAGTTCCCTAGAGGTAAAAGTTGGCAGTGAACCATGAACATCGTTCTTTTTTTTTCCCCGACAGGCAGAGTGGACAGTGAGAGAGAGAGAGACAGAGAGAAAGGTCTTCCTTTGCCGTTGGTTCACCCTCCAATGGCCGCCGTGGCTGATCTGAAGCCAGGAGCCAGGTGCTTCTCCTGGTCTCCCATGGGGTGCAGGGCCCAAGCACTTGGGCCATCGTCCACTGCACTCCCAGGCCACAGCAGAGAGCTGGCCTGGAAGAGGGGCAACCGGGACAGAATCCGGCGCCCCGACCAGACCTAGAACCTGGTGTGCCGGCGCCACAGGTGGAGGATTAGCCTATTGAGCCACGGCGCCGGCCAAACATAGTTCTTTTAAACACAATCATCTAATGGCATCCACCTGTGGTCGCCAGGGACCAACTACAGCATCTGGGGAGGTATTCAGTCCACATCCAAAGTAAAGCAAAGAGCGAGCTCCTCCCCTAAGCCTGGTGATTCCTTTCATGAAATCAATGATTTGGACACACATTCAAAAACAAGGCGATCATTTGCTAATGTAACTACTAGGCTCAAGGTACAATGAATTTCTCCTTCCAGTGGCTTATACTGGAACAACCGTTGAAGACTTACTGGTACATGGTATTGGACTTGACACTCTTAAAGGATAATCTCACTTTCAAGGGCTGCACAATTTGGAAATTCCTAAGGCCTTGTTTTATTTTGCTTTGTAAAATGGAGGTCTGTTATTCAACAAGTATTTATGGAGCACCTCTGTGCACCAGGCATGCTGAAGGTTTAGCAGTGTACCAAGCAGGCTGAAATCCCTGGCTTCATGGGGTTTAAATTCCAGTGGGGGTGACAGCAGGGTGGCACACTTAGGAGGCTAAGGAACAAAGTTAAGAAAGGTGATGAGGGGTGCATGGCAGGCAGAGTGTAACCATTTTCAATAGGGACCAGGGGAATCATCACAGAGAAGGTGACAGCTATGTACAGAATTGCAAGTGAAGGGGGAAGCCAGGCAGATGTTAGGGAGAAGAGTGCTCTGGGCAGACGGAAGGGACATACTTCCTGTGATCATGAACTAAGGCATGGGGCAGTGTGGCAGCAGCAGAGCTGAGGCCGTAGGGTGGGGTTGTGGCCCAGCAGGTAAAGCTTCTGCAATGCCCACATCCCATACCTGTTGGGAGTCCCAGCTCCTCCACTTCCCACCCAGCTTCCTACTGATGCGCCTCCGAGGTGGCAGATAACGACCTGGGTTGGAGTTCCTGGCATCTGGCTTTGGCCTGGCCAGCACTGGGAGCTGTGGTTATTCGGGGAGTGAACCAGTGGAAGGAAGAGCTCTGTCATTCTCCCTTACAAATCAATCAGTTAATTTTGTTAATAGGTGGAGCAGAAAAGGATGTCTCCATTTAATAATAAGCTATGATAAGTTATTTATTAATGGGTACTCCATTTCTAGTAAGATGTCTATTTATGCTTCATTCCCTGTAATTATATATTATCACACTTCAAGACCATGTACAAATTACTGTTTTGGAAGACATCAGTTACTCTGAAAATACAACATTCATTCACGCTTCTGTATTTACTGAATCCTACTGTGTGCAAGGCACTGTGGTAGTGCCATTGTAGGACTGAGTCATAAGAAATGAACAGTCGGGACTGGCGCTGTGGTGTAGTGGGTAAAGCCACCACGTGCAGTGCCAGCATCCCATATGGGTGCTGGTTCAAGTCCCAGCTGCTCCACTTCTGATCCAGCTCTCTCCTATGGCCTGGGAAAGCAGAAGACAGCCCAAGTGCTTGGGTCCCTGCACCTGCATGGGAGACCGGAAGAAGCTTGGCTTCTGGCTTTGGATTGGCGCAGCTCTGGCCGTTGCGGCCAATTGGGGAGTGAACCAGTGGCTGGAAGACCTCTCTCTCTGCCTCTCCTTCTCTCTCTGTGGAACTCTGACTTTCAAATAAATAAACGGATCTTTAAAAAAAGAAGAAACCTCCATGAATCTTCAATATTAAAAAAAAGAATGAATAATGATTGGCTTGAAGTTTTGCTTTTGTTTGCTTGCTTTTAACTAATCTTTTAAAAAGGAAAAAGAAATGCAGGTGGAGAAGCTAAGGGTAACAGAGGGTATGCACCTTCTGCAGCCCTAACTCTGTCACTGAAGGGGCTGGTGCAGAAGGCGGGCCCAGGAGGTCCAGTCTTCTCATGTGGCTCAATGTTAGAGGCTTACTGGGACAAGGGAGGAGCTCCATGGCAACAGGGTTCATTACTTTTGTCCCCTTGTCCTTATCTCTTCGTTGTCTAAAAAAGTTTGAGTTCCAGAGATGCTTGTACTACTACAGCTTTTTGAAATACACTCCTAAGACATGCAGAAGAAAAGGCACAATAAATGGCAAGTTTTACATGAGACCTCTCACTATTTGGGCTATAAACACACTCAGCAGGCATCTCGGTCCTAAGTCTCGCTCAAGAGTAGGAGTGAGGAGTCACGGATGGATTTAATTCCTCGTCACCTGTGGAAACGCTCATCGGAAGATCGCTTCATCCATGGTGAAATCAGAAGTGAAAATCAGAACTCTGAAGAACCGTGCAAGGACAAACTGCGCCGGTGAGCGGCAGCTTGTCCCATCTTAACCGTGTGGATGGCCCTGCGCCTCACGATGTCACCGCTCGTTTGGCCCCAGGCCCGCCGGACTCCATTCTGCGGGCACTGAAATGGTTGCCCCCAGCAAAGTGTCCAGGCTCCTGCCGGGTCACCTGTCTGCAGACTCGCCGCCTTAGCAGGCTTCAAAGTTTTGCTGGACCCAAGGCAGGGGTAGATTACGGATATTTCCGGGCTTCCGGGACAGGGGAGGCCTCTGCGGACTCTAAGAACCCACGCCTGTCAGGGGGACACGGGGCATCTCCGCAGGGCCTCCCCAGCCAGCTCGGGGCGCGTTCCCTGCGCTCTCCACCCTGCCCGCTCGGCGTGAGCGTCCCACCTCCGCGCTTCTCGGGGAAAATTCACCTCCGTCTTCTGCCATTCCGCCCGAAGTGGCTGGACCTCGGCCGGGCCAGAAGTCCCAGGAGGGCGGCGAGGCGCGGCGGGCCCCGCGCCCGGAAGGACGGCGCCCCGCGCACCTGTGCCGGCGGCGTGGAAGCAGCGGGCGGAGGCGCCCTTCCCGGAGCCCCTGCGCCCGCCGCACCAGACCGTGCGGATACCCCAGCCCCCACCTCACCTCCGCCACTGGCCGGAGCGGGCCCAGGTGCGCAGGGGCTGAGCGCACCCCTCCCGGCCCCGCACCTGGGCTGGGGGCAGTGGGCCTCAGCGCCCGGGCCCGATCACGTGCCCCCCTCCCCGCCCCCACTCACCTGCTTGGCCGCCGGAAAGGCGCGCGCACCGCCCCGCGCACTGAAACCGGGATCGGACTCCCGGGGCGGGGCCGGCCGGGCAGGGCTGAGCTTGGCCCCGCCCGGCTTTGTCAGCCCCGGTCCCGCTAAGGGCCTGCGCCGCTGGTGCCCCGCACAGGGCACCTGGGAAGAGTGGTGACACACGGGGCGTGTTGCGGCCGTGCGTCACGTCTCCCGGGAGGTCCGGCGGCAAGGCCGCCCGCATCCTCACCCTCCCCTAGCTTTGAAACTTGGGGAACCCGGGGCACCCAGCAGACGGTGCAGGCAGGAGAGACAAGGCATGATTCAACATTTTAATTTTGATATAAATTATGCAAATACTTTCCCAAAAGTATCTAAAGTACTTAACTGTACAACACACAGAGAGCGTATCTGAGAAGACAGAGGCCATAGAAACTGTAAATAAGGCACCAAGTTTTATTTACATTCGTAACGCACCCTGAACTGCCTGTATTCGTATTTACAACCCCCGGATTCCGCGTCCTGGATCGTTCTTCACATTTCCTGGGTTTTGGCATCAGGTTCAAACACACTTCATACACACTGACCTCCTCTCCTGAAACCACTCGCAAAACTGAATAAATACTAGAGGAAACATTACAGATCCCTTGCAGGCGTGATCTGTGCCGAGGACAGAAGAGTCAGTGCCCTGTGAGGAAGTCCTACCGAGTGAAGAATTAACAAACTGTGAAATTCGCTAGGAAAGCCTCTTAACCCTGCTCAGGGACCACCGAGGTGACCATCCCGCAGGGATCATCCCGCAGGCTGCCGTCTAGGGGCCGTCACTCTCACAGTCTTCTATCACCCAGCTGTCTTCCTCCACGTCTGCTTGGGAGCAGAAGGGCTGCGGCTGGCTGGCGGGAAGCTCCGCCGCGCTGCCCTGACTCAGAGGCAGAGACCAGGCTTCGGCTTGGGCGGCCTGCGCGGGGTCAGCTGGCGTCTCCTCAGGCCACTGCCCTTCATTGCGCTGCACCTCGTCTCCACTCTCAGGGTCCAACATTCCATGCTCCCCGTCGGCCAGGGCTTCCATCTTCAACCTGTCAGACAGCCACAGTGTGTGCATTAATAACAAGCAAGGAGGGGCCGGCGCTGTAGCACAGTGGGTAAAGCCACCGCCTGCAGTGCCGGCATCCCATATGGGCACCGGTTCCAGTCCTGGCTGCCCCACTTGAGATCCAGCTCTCTACTATGGACTGGGAAAGCAGTAGAAGATGTCCTTGGGCCCCTGCACCCACGTGGGAGACCCAGAGGAGGCTCCTAGCTTCAGATCCACCCAGCTCTGGCCTTTGCGGCCATTTGGGGAATTAACCAGCAGAGGGAAATCTCTCTGACTTTGCCTCTCTGTAACTCTGCATTTCAAACAAACAAATAAATCTCAAAAAAAGGAGGGAATTCCTTTCGGCTGTACCACAGCTGTGTCTAGCGTTATGAAGCCATCTCCTCGTGCTGTCCCTTTAGTTTACCTACAGAAGCAAACCCATGAGGGAAATTTTAAACCGCAAATAAACCCTCAGCACTTAGAACACAAAAATGCTTAACGAATGTCTTCAGAAAGAGGTCTTACAAACTGAAACTGAAAAAAATTAAATAGAAAAATGGGCAGAAAACTTAAAAAACAATACAAGTGTTACTAAATGTTATTCAATTTAATTTATAATTTATTTTTAAATTTTTTTTTTTGACAGGCAGAGTTACAGACAGAGAGAGAGAGAGAGAGAGAGAAAGGTCTTCCTTCTGTTGGTTCACCCCCCAAATGGCCACTACAGCCGGCATGCTGCGCTGATCCGAAGCCAGGAGCCAGGTGCTTCCTCCTGGTCTCCCAGGTGGGTGCAGGGGCCCAAGCACTTGGGCCATCCTCCACTGCCCTCCCGGGCCACAGCAGAGAGCTGGACTGGAAGAGGAGCAGCTGGGACTAGAACCCGGCTCCCCAACCGGGACTAGAACCGGGTGTGCCGGCGCCGCAGGCGGAGGATTAGCCTAGTGAGCCGCAGCGCCGGCTAATTTATAATTTTTAAAATGGAAATGAATGACCTATTATTTTCACCTTCTTAACAGGCAAAGATACTTTTAAAATGATAGAGCAAGGGTTAGGAGAAAAGAGCACTGTTAAGGGTTATAAAGCTTGCAAATTAAAAAAAATTATTTTGAAATGCAGAGTGAAACAGAGACAAAGACGGATGTATATCTTCAACTGCTGGTTAACTCCCCAAATGGGCACAACAGCCAGACCTGGACCAGGCTGAAGCCAAGAGCCAGGAACTCCATCCGGTTCTCGTCTCCCACATGGGTGGCAGGGACCAAAGTAGTTGAGCCATCCTCCGCTGGCTTCCCAGGCACGTTAGCAGGAAGCTGGGTGTCACGTGGAGCAGCCAGCACATGAACCAGCACCCAGTACAGATGCTGACACACAAGCAGCGGCTTCACCTGCTGCACCACAACTCGGGCCCCATGGCAGACATTCTCACAAGCAATCTGGCACTCAGAACAAGGGTCTCAGAAATTCTAACCCTGCTGAACATCAGTTTCACTCCTAGGAATTTATCCTAAGTAAATAGTATTTGATGTGTAAAATAATTTATCAAAAAGGCTGTGATAAAAAACAAAGTTGAAAAGATAGAAAATGTAAAAAAAACATGGTTTTGGTTAAATTAGAAAAAAGAAATCACACAGCTAGTAAAAATTAAGTTAACTGTTAATATTTAGTAAGAATCATTATGAATCAAAGATCACATTAAATAACCAGTAAAATGAAACCTAACAGTGCTAGTCAAAACACCAGTAAACCCTGCCTCCCACCCAGATCAGCAGTTGATCTCATAATAAACAGGGAAAACTCCCGATCGTTTATATTTCGTTAGGGAGAGAAAACACGCTGGCCCTCCATTTCGATCACGCTCTTGTGGGGACAGGAGCCATCCACAGATCGGGCCCTGCTGTGACGCAGAGGAAGCTGAGGGAAGAGCACAGTTCCTGCAGGTTTGACTCCTGCTCACTTCCTAGTGGGACGATGCTTTAAGACCCGTCCATCAGGCCCGGTGCTGTGGCGTAGCGGCTGCTCCACTTCCAATCCAGCTCCCTGCTAATGTGTCTGGGAAAGCAGTGGGGGATGCCCCAAGTCCTTGGGTCCCTGCACCCACGTGGGAGACCCGGAAGAAGCTCCCGGCTCCTGGCTTCGGATCGGCACATCTCCGGCTGTTGCGGCCAATTGGAGAGTGAACTAGCAAAGGGAAGACCTCTCTCTCTCTCTCTTTGCCTCTCCTTCTCTCTGTGTGTAACTCTGACTTTCGGATAAACAAATAAATCTTAAAAAAAAAAAAGACCGTCCATCACTGTCTCTCCATAACATGAAAGACAGGCACCACACAGCCAATGCATTTTCCAGAATAAACCACCGACACCGTAAGGCCTTACTGAACGTGTGAGGGGGAAGGAAGCCCAGACAGCAGTTTTCCACTGGGGACAAGAAATAGGAGAAAAGGTAGGAGGTATACCTGATGTCGTTTCTACTGTCTACCTCAGCCCTGGAAACCACCCTTTCTAAACCTTTTAAAAATATCAGAGTATTTAATTCTACTTGACAAGTAAGGTGAATTGAGGTATAGCCTTGTGTTAGTTGCTCATATTAGTGCAGAATTTATTTTATCAGTACATAATATCTCCATATTTGCTTGTCTGTTATTTCTTTTCTTTTTTGTTTCTTTCTTTCTTTTTTTTTTTTGGACAGGCAGAGTGGATGGCTACTGATGCAGTAGGAGACAGAGGAGAAAGGTCTTCTTTTTACTGTTGGTTTCACTTTCGAACGGACGGTGGCGGCCGGCACAACTCGGCGCTGATCCGAAGCCAGGAGCCAGGTACTTCTCCTGGTCTCCCATGGGGTGCAGGGCCCGAGCACTTGGGCCATCCTCCACTGCCCTCCCGGGCCACAGCAGAGAGCTGGCCTGGAAGAGGGGCAACCAGGACAGAATCTGGCACCCCAACTGGCACTAGAACCCGGTGTGCTGGCGCTGCAGGCGGAGGATTAGCCTAGTGAGCCGCAGAGCTGGCCTGTTTGCTTTTTCTTTTTTCTTTTTTTTTTTTTTGACAGGCAGAGTGGAGAGAGAGAGAGAGACAGAGAGAAAGGTCTTCCTTTTGCCGTTGGTTCACCCTCCAATGGCCGCTGCAGCCGGCACACCGCGCTGATCCAAAGCCAGGAGCCAGGTGCTTCTCCTGGTCTCCCATGGGGTGCAGGGCCCAAAGCCCTGGGCCATTCTCCACTGCACTCCTGGGCCATAGCAGAGAGCTGGCCTGGAAGAGGAGCAGCGGGACAGAATCCGGCACTCCGACTGGGACTAGAACCCGGTGTGCCGGCGCCGCAAGGCGGAGGATTAGCCTATTGGGCCACGGCGCCGGCCTGCTTTTTCTAAAACAGGGAAATTCAAATGATACTGCCACTCTGTGATGCAGTTTTTGGTCACTGCAAGTATAGGCTAAGAACACCACTTGGCAGGTAGGCTGGGAAGGGGTTTCTAGAGTTGCAAGATTTTGTTGAACTTAACATTTTTAATTTTTTTAAGGGAAAGGGTTTATTGGGGGAAATCTGACAGAC